GGTGCGTCGTATTCTTTGACACCTTCTTCTTTTGGGCAGAATTTTCGGCGCTAATAACCTCGGAGGGCACACCTTTAAGCGCTTGTTAGCGCTACCAAGTCCTGTGAACTGTACATGTACATGTGCATACCGGACAACCTTGTCAAGACCTTGTAAACCCCTGTAAATTTTGTTATCACTTGTGTCAACCTGTAAGCTCCTGCTATCAAACTTGTCAAATGACTGGGTCAACGATTCTGGCAAAAAAAGAGAGAACGGGCATGTCGAGCATTTATCCGCGTCACCGTGCCCATTTGGGCACCAAATTCAGGTCTTATTTCGAGTGTAGAGTTTTAGTCACGTGATACCTTGTGAACAATGTGATATATATCAGTGAATGTAAGCAGGGGTCACGGGCACAGCACGTTCACTATTCACATTGCAGTCAGTTAACACGTAACAAAGCTTGCTTGCCCTAGGGCCTTTGGAAATGCCCCCCTCCGCCTCAGGCTGTTGGCGCCAAAATTTCCATTTCTTTATTATGTGATCGAAAATGCTGGGATGTCTTCTTACTGGGCGCAGTTTGGTGACGAGGGCATTTTGAACTTTCGCTGTTGTACTGGTTCCTTCTTACAAGTCCCACTCTGGTGAGACCTGTGAATTTCTGTGAGACATGGTAACACCTGTCAACTATTGTAAGCTCCTTAAGCAGTTCGGTAGACCGCTCGACACGTCAGTGGGAATTACCAAAAGTGCGATGCCCCCCCCCCCCGTCGCCGAACTCCCTCTTATTATTACCAGCTTTCCAGCTAAGCTGCGTTTATACATTAGGACAAAATAATAAGAAAATCGACATTTGGCCATCCGTTCCTTAGGAGCGGATTCTCCCAAAACTTCTGTTCTCTTACTTTCCTATTTCCCCGTCGCAAAATATGAACGCAGCCTTATGACTTTGAATTTAGTACCGGAAAAACCAACTGGTGTCGCATTTTCTCTGATCAGCGAGAACGAAGTGCGCCTGAAATGGACACCGCCAGAAAACCCGAATGGAAAGATCAAGGTGAGAATCGTTTCAGTCCATATTAGGAAGGTACTGCAAGGTACTGATACTGGAAGGTAACTGGTAACTGAGAAGTTCCAGTACCGGAGTTTTTTTCGAAGAGATTAGAGGCTTTTCTCTTAGTCGTGCTCGTAACCCCAAAAACCTAGTCGTATTTGAGACATGTTCCGCGCTGTCCGGATGGGCGGAGAGTACAACTGTTGTACTCTCCTGACTGGTACGCCCTCTTCCAATACGACAAAGAGGAGGGGTGCCAAAGAGAGGATGAAATCTTGGCGAGCCTCCGCCCGTCCGCCTAGCACGAAAAGTGTCTTTGATCGAACTTATTATCTTCATTGGGTTGAAGAATGGAATTGAATTTGGTCCGGCAATGGGAGAAAAACGATTCGAGCACAACCTGGCTTGCCTTCAAAATTAGCGCCTATTTTCAGGCTTACTTCGTGTCTTACTGGAAGTCTGACGAAGATCGCACTACTGCAATCAGAGCTCCGTTATCATCTACTCTTCTGTTCTTCACCGCCAACGGTAAGGAAGGATTTCGGTGAAACAAGGGGAGATTTTTGGGGTATTTTAACTTGCGGCGATTTGGGAAGGGGTACTTTCAGCGATTTTGAGTTTCGGTAGTCTCGGAGGTATTTTACAGTTCTTATTGTTAGTTGTGTTGTTGTTGTTATTTCCCTTGAGTTTCTAGGGTTGGAGCCAAACAAGCAGTATACGTTTGCTGTTCAAGCTGAGAACACTGTCTCAGTTGGACCAGAAGCAGTGGTGCAAGTGGTGACAACGTCAATTCGAGGTGACTTGTTGCTCACGCCTTAGCAAGCGTTTGAAGAATTCTGAGAAAACCGGTCCAAGACGCGCGCGGTCGCGGCGCGGCCTTTAGTTGCCTTGCTAGGTGCCGTGAACGAGCGTTCGTCTTGCTGTGGGCGTGTGTTTCGGCACAAAGGCTTGAATACCTTTACCAAGTCATTTTCTTGAAGAAATTTAAATTTGCACTGAATTCAAAATATTTGGTCTGCAAATTTGGAAATTTAGTACCTGTTCGTACCCCTCCGGTACCAGTCCGTAACGACACTAGATACGGATCGGAAAGCATTGCTATCCGATGGGACGACAGTGGCATTGATGAAGACGAAGCACCGGTGCGATTTGTTCAGGTACTGTCATTGTTCTTCTTGGATCTAGCTGCTTTTTCAGCTTCTATAGCATTATGCGGGTTAGGAAGCGTTTAGACTTTGCGACGTCGCGCGTTGTTGCGCGACATCGTGGAGTCTGAACGCTGACCTACTAGTGACGCATACAATTGCAGGTGGAATATCAAAAATCAAATAATGATGAATGGATTGCATTGGATAAAGTAATATCAGGACAGGAAAGCGGTGTCGTGGTGCCAAGGTGAGGCAATAAATTCTTTAAAAAAGGCGGAGGTACGCCCGGTTCTGAAAGCCTATAGCTCAGGTTTTCGTTATATTGAATACTCATCGTATGATTGGAATCGGACTGCGCTTCCCTCATTGGTGCTCTCCTTTTATTAGCGTTTTGGCGCTGTTCGAATGAGTGGGGAGGGGAGAAAATTTGCACTTTCGCCAGTTTTTTTTTTGTCGCAGGAGCCATCAAAGTGCCCTCACCTAGCCGAATGCGCCCTCTTTTTTGAGGGAGGAAATTCTGTCGACGAAGCGAGATCCATTAAGTGACTCCACAGTCATTGGGACTGTCCGCCCCTAAAGAGCGCGTAAACCTGTCGCACTTGAGTCAGAAAGGCTGCTACTGGTACCACGCTATTGCAAAAGGCCTATCCCGCCGATTTATCAAAATTATAAGCGAGACATAGCTTCCTGAAAGAGATTAAGCTTCAGTGATACAACTGGATGCGTCCTTTAAGTCTACTACGCAACTCGAAAATAAAATACTAGGCTTCGTATTCGATATCTTGGGATAACGTCGCATCGGTGTGGGTCAGCGGAGTCAGAAGGATGCGTACGATCTGCATCCACGTCTAAGCAAGGGGCACGCATGGTGATGAGAAGTCAGCACTCGTGGCAGCATCTCCCAGTACGACTGCGTCAACGTTGCTTTTCAATGGGTGACTCTCTCTAAGGTACGATAACGTCTTATTTTGCAAAGATATCCTTGCATTGAGAGCAAAAAAGGTGGCGCGTAGGCGCTGCGCTCGTCTCAAGTATGACCGCGGGACGAGAACAGCATCCCCAGTTAGCTGGCGCGGTTACTACACTAATTTATGGATTGAAAGCCGCAGACATATACAGGGAAAAATGGAATGAAGACAGCAATCGACTAACCCGTATCGCGCTTTTTGTGATATCCAATGTCAACCGACATGATACATGTTGCTAGGTGGAAATCTCTGCCGAATAGCTCATAGTCAACGGCCACAGTTTTAATGACTGCAGACAGACTGCCATAGGTAGAGTACAGGTTTTTCTCTTTGATCATTTTTTTTTTCACCCCTGGGGTTTGTTTTGGTTTTTGTTGTCGTCCTTCTTTTCTTTCCTCTTTTATTTTCATTTCTCCGATCTTTAGACTTCTGGGTAGCTGTTGTTTATTTTATCATGATTCTGGGCGTTTTCATTTTAAAGGGTCGTTTGAGCACAAGGTTCACGATAAACAAATCCGGCCAGAACAAGGACAAAACAATTGTAAAAATATTGATAAAGTGCCCGTCGCCAGCCATAGACATATTCCAGGAAGCGCGCTACAATTCCGAACGAGTTTTCCCGTTCACACAACAACAAACCCTCTCGGCCCACGCCCGCTAAAGCCAATCAGCTCGTTCCACATGGCGCGGCGTCGTTCCACCCGTAACGCTAAAAAAAAAAAAAAAAAAAAAAAAAAAAAAAAAAAAAAAAAAAAAAAAAAAAAAAAAAAAAAAAAAAAAAAAAAAAAAAAAAAAAAAAAAAATAAACGTGTTGACCACTTCAAAATAGGGCTAAAACGAAGCATATGTATTTACATCGAATAGAGAAGTTATAGAATAGAAAAAACCTCCGAACTGTCCAGACAGGACCCTTTACCGATCAGAGCTGGTACGACCAAAGGGCCGAAGGGAGTGCGTGCTCGGGCGAGTTCCCCCTTTTGAATATGACACGACATCAACTCTTTGTTAGTACCTCACTCTCACAATTCGAAATGGAAATAGCTAGTAGCGGTACAGTCGCACCACCAGGGTGGTACTACCATTAGAAATGAGCGTTGGGTGGAGGCATGGGGCAGTGGGCGGGCATTGCCTTGATCGCGGCCGAGTGGCGCCCTTATCAAGTACTTTTGAGTTGCTAAAGAGGTACATCCTCTGCGCTTACGGATCGCACCACGCGAAACTTGTCCTTAGAAGAGTGCTGGACACTCTTCCTTTCTTCAACTTGCAACAAATTGCCGTTAAACGATCATTGATCGCTTTCTGAGATTTCTAACGCTCGCGTATCACATGTGGGGGGGGGGGGTGAGGGCACGCAGCTTCGCGTCTTTGCCTCATCTTCTCCAAGGCTCAGTGAGTAGCAGAGCGTAGGCAACCACAGTAGGTCTGGCGTAGGCGCACTGCCGGGAACCCCTCGATCCGAACTGCGTCAGCATACATTTTATCCCATTATCCTTCACAGTTTCTTTGTGGTTTCCATGTTGTGGATTTTTGTCCATGCGTTTCGTTTTGCCCCTCCTTCCTGCATTTTGCGAATGTGATCCTGAGAGTTAATTTCCATGACCTATTTCAGTTTCCGTCATTACATTTTGCGAATGCGTGCATTCAACTCTGAAGGGAAGTGGCCCATTTTCTGCACCGGTCTTTGTCTATGTGGGCTATTCAATCCCGAAAAAGTGAGTGCCTTGACTACCCTTCGGTAGGCATTATTTATGTTTCAGAAAAGCGGAGGGCCTTCAAAGGATTTTGAAGTGCCGCGCTAAAATATGTTAGTCCCATCATGCGTATCTGTTCAGGAATGTGACCAATCTGATGGCAGAACCTTTATCTTCCACCTCGTTGTCAGTAAGATGGGACCCATGGTCTGAGAATGAAGACGCGGCAATAAGTGGATTCAAGGTAGCTATTTAAAAGTCTATTTTTATTTGTTTTCTGCGCTCGGGTTGCGGCTGGTTGACCGGATTAATATGAGTTAGCCCTCCCGAAAAAAAAACTGGGATCAATTAAATCCCTCCTTTTTTCGGAAGCAGTTCTCACCTTTCGATAATTATCTTCTTTATTGGACATTTTCGTAGTTGCACTTAAAGATACATTTCACCGTATTTGGGTGGGCGGAGACTCGCAGCAGTTGTGTTTGTGTTCTTCTAGAGACCAAACAATCGATAATCGACTCCTGGATAGAAGTAAAATACCAAATGTTAAGTGTTGTTTAGGTTCGGTTCGTGCCGGTGACATCAGTTCTGTCTCCATCCAGTCACGAAGAAGAGTTGATGGTTGTTGAGAACAATAGCTGTATAATTACAGATCTGCGAAAGTATACTGAATATCAGGTTCGCTTAAGCTGTTTGAGTCGCAATTTTGACGTTTTCTCTTCCTTTGTGCCTAGTTTCTTCTAGATTTCCTCATGGAGGGTATTTTTAGCGATTCGATTTTCAGGTCTCTATTACTCCCTATAATCGAGCAGGAGAAGGCGCCGTGGCCCAGATTAGGGTACGGACATTAGAAGACGTGCCTGGAATGGTTGGAGCGCTGAACATTTCACGGATGTCTTGTGTGGATCTAGGTAAAGTATAAGGTTGATATCTTCGCTATCAAGGGGATAGTTGTTTATCCGTAAGCGAGGTAGACAGCCTACACCCTCGCTGGCTGACTTCTTCCAGTGGTGCCAGTTTCGAGGTGGAAACAGCCAGTGGTAGGAAACGCCGCACCATAGTCCCGCCGGAGTGTGACTGTACATTTCATGGCGGGGTCCTCAAAAATCGCTCCTCATTGGTACACTTGGTGAATGGGTGCATATCAGTTCGGACTACCATTACCTGGCCTACCCCCACATTTACCTTTTCTCTTCTTGTAAACTAGGTGTTGAGTTTCTTGGTCGCTATTTCGAGCTATTCACACTCTGCAAACCTATTTTTTGGGAGGCTTAATTTGCATAGATACTTGCTCTTGGGTATAGATTTGGCTAGAACTGGGTCCTCTGAGGGGATTCTGCTTCTCCCTAGCATCAGTCTGGCGCCGCCGCTAGGTCGGCTGTTCTTTTTTGACGTCACCATTTTCTCGTCGACGCTGCCTCCATCAAGAAGAACCTCACTGAAATCCGAGTTACCGGAAGAGGATGTGCTGTTCAAGGCGTCTTCTGCCAAATCGATTTCAGTGTTGTTCTTTCTGATGACGTCCTTGCATTGGGGGATCAGAAAGGGGGAATATGCTGGAGAGGTCATGTTGAGGGGAGTGTATTTTGGAGATCCTACCTCAAGGGACCTGCTCAGTCGTGGCTTGCCCTGTTCTTCAAAGTCCAGTGCTCTCCATGTCAGGTGGTTTTCAGGCCTTAGTGCACCCATGACATTGCCGTCGTTTCTCCCCTACCTTCAGTTGGATAGAAACCGTCTGTATGACCGCGCTGACCTCTTTTCCGGCTCTCTCAGTCTAGTCGCCACCTCCAGCGCTAGCTAAACCTCCTGAATACGAGTATCACTTCCGTTTTTACTAAGCGAGAGGCATTCACGCCGAACGGATGTGATACTCGTATTCGAGGAAACAAACTGTTCTCTGGGTCATACTTGGCCCAGGGTCCCCCTCTTGGGTCTTTTTGGTAAGTTCATTGCTGGTGAGGACAGACTAAACCCTGACAGAGTTTGGGGATAATCTGGTCCCAGCTAAACAACGATTGGGAGGGGTAAAGTTGGTGCATACTCCCTGCGGAGCACGAATTTAACCCTTTTCCAGGTACGCGTCTCATGGAAACCGCCAAGTGAACCGAATGGCCAGATCACTGGTTACATTGTGAACTACAGAACATTCAAAATGAAGGTATCAATAGTGTGCAAGGTTTTCTGCCCGAAGCTCGACCTTCCCTGAATGCTTTGAAATCGTTCCAGGAGGAGTTCAAGAAGGAGGTTCAATCCCGGACTCAGCAGACGTTCTACCCGGCGACGAATCTCGAAGAAGGTGTCACGTACTTTTTCGCTGTCTGGGCAGAGACATCAGCTGGAAGGGGAACAGAAGTCACAGCCAACGTAACTCTGGGGCCAAATCCGAGTGAGTTCTGACCCATTGTGTGGATTTCGTATTGCCTTATCTCTGTTACGGGGGGTTGCATGTTTCAGATGGGCCACCTGCTCCAAAGAGACCAACGCTGACTCCGGGACCATCATCAGTAACACTCGAGTGGAGAGATGAACAAAGAAACGGCATCATTGGTCATTTGATCCAAGCCAAGCTTGTGTCGAAGGTCCTTTACTTTTGAGTTATTTAAGCTGTATTTTCTCATAGTATTGCCCTCAAAGAAATATGCTTAGGATGTTGGCGCTGTTCAGTTGAAGAAAAGGAACAAGCGATCATTTGGCCGTCCAACGCATATTCACGGCGTCTGGGTAACGCTTAGGGTGGTCGAAGGTGCGGGCCAACAGCACGAGGTTTGCACCTTTTTCGGTTATTATACTTTTTTGGTTGTGTAGCACCATGTCCGAAAGTAGCGTGCCGTTGTCTCCTTTTCATCTCAAAGGCGTATTCCGCGATAGGTGGGTGGGCGGGGACTCGTAACCTTTTTTGGTTTTCCATTGGTGGGCATGTGATTGTTTTGCATAGCAATTTCTTTGCATGCTTGCGCGAAGCGCGCAGTGCACTCCCTCTGCACACAGTAGGACCTCATCGGAAGCCCCGCCCCAGACAGCCACGCCCCTTCTTGCCCGGAACAAAATTCAGGCTTACCTTACTGCCAGTGCTGTCAAGAGGATCCCGCTAATGAAGAAGGCTCAATTGTTATCATTCTCCCCCCCCCCTAGTTTATCGCGGAATATGCCGCCCAAAACAGATCAGAGCGGTTGTAAAGCGTGGGGAAGAATTTGAGAAGGAGAAGGGGAGGGGGACGCAGGACAGATTGCTTCTGAGAATATGCGCGAATCGATCCTAGTTCTTCTATCCTCTTCCATATCACGAAACCGTTTTTTTTTTTACAGAAACGGAAATTCCGTTTTTTTCCTGAAGTGAGGAAATGTGGGGAAGGGGGCCAGGATGGAAGTGAGGTGCGAAGAGGATGACTTTCCGGGCAGTAAAATTCCGTTTAAACGACCAAGGTGTTCTCGCCCTCCCCCCTGCCATTCCCACACGGCTAGACAACTGACGATGACCTCCAATTTGAAACGGAGATTCGATTCCCTTTCCGGTTTCCATTTGTATCCTTCCAGAAGGAATAATCGATCACAGGCAGTCCCTTTTGTCAGCCTGTTTCCCCGGCTTGAAAAACCCGTTTGTTATGATCCCCAATGGTGTCCATACGATTTTTTTTTGTAGGTCAGCTATCGTGAACTGGAACCATCAAGTTTTTATGTGTTCCGCGTGTTTGCCCGTAATGAAATTGGAATCGGAAAGGCAAGCGCCGAAACTGAACAGCTGTTTGTGCCAGGTAATTGATTTTTTTTTTGCTTTTTTTCAAAAATTATATGATGAAGTAAACCAAATGAGCGTGTTGCTATAGGTACAGAATTAGAGAAAGTGGGAAATGACTGGCGTGACACGACCCCGCCCCCCATTCCCAAAGTTCCTGCGGTCGTTCGTCGCCGCCCACCGCCTCCTATTCTACCGAACATCTTATTTTCGCCTGCAACTTCATTCGATATTTCGGATATCTCCTCCCGCAACAAAGCAGCAGTTGTGTCTCTTTGCTTTTTTCCTCCTCGACGCTTTTCTGGAGAAAACGAGGGAATAACGAGAGAACACTTCGACGAAGTGGTGATAAGTAAAGAGAAATCGTAGGCAGGAAAGGGAAAGAGGGTCGTTCCATATGAGGGATTTTCAGGTGGAGGGTCGTATCCTGCCAAAGTTCCCCCCCCCCTCAACGTCAGGACGTACCCCGGTGAGGAACATGTTGTAGAGTAAACGGTTTCCACAACGAATGCGACAATTTCGCTGAATTAGGTAAGAGTTTGAATCGACAGGAACAGTGCCGGCGTGGATGCAAGATGAGGGTGGGGTGGGGGAGTATAAGGGCTGTAACCAATTCATTTTCATTCCTCCTACAGTTTCTTTGAGCCCATGCTTAACCCTTTTCAAACAGCATATTTGCAAGGGAGAACCAAAGCTCACTACGTTTCTCGGTGATGAATTCCTTTTTGAGATGCGTCATGCATCTGAAAGACCCGTATGGGGGCTAATACAAGATATGGTCTCCTCAGTGTTCGCCTGACTAGATCGCGTTCATACTTTCGCGCAGATCCCGAACATGCGGCCCATTGACCGATCTCACTTCACGCTGTTTGGTAAGCAACTGGAAAATCAGCGGCCACACCATTCAAACGACGACTGCACACGGCCGCCGTTGCGCGACTTGGGAATCGCTCGAGTCGCTCACTATGAACGGGCTTCAATCGCGAAACTTGCTAGTACATCTCCACTTCCTATAAAAAGATGCCTTCATACAGTTGTAAAAGTTGTTGTTGTTTAGTATGTGCTAGTCTTTTTAGTGGAAGCACTAATTTAGACACGTCTTTTTCAGCTTTCATACCTGAAGATCCGTTCTACACAACATGGTGGTTCATTGCAATGGTTGCAATGTCGACATTTGTGGTCGTAGTACTCGTTGTGGCCTTCTTGTGCATTACTGGTAAGTGAAGGCAGTGGTGAGCTAATTTATACGTGGTGATTTTTGAGAGGGCACCTCACAAGTGGAGGCCTAGAGGTAGCGATGGGGGTCGTCCCAAGTCGTGGGAGGGGGGAATCGTACTTCTCCTAGGAAATGTGCTTTAGGCGGCTAACATTTCCTGGTCTATCCCAGATATTGAGTCCCCGCCCAAGGACAGCTTTTCAGAGAGCAACTGAGAGTTTCCCCGGAAAAAGGTGTAAGGTTGGGAAGATCTGAGAATCTATGAACATGAAAGGTTAGGAAGGGGATGGGAAGTGAGGCTCTTTTACCGCAGGCAGGATTTTTGAAGTGGAGGGGGGTACGTAATCTTGCAGGGTTCTCCCTCATGACAGTAGGTGACCTGCTCCTGAGTCTGTCAAACGGCCCTGCTTCTGTGAGAGCATGTCTCTTATGGAGCCTCGTTTCGGCAGTCCCGCTTTCTATAGCCCAACTTAGCGCTTTTTGCCTGGGTCATGTTGTTTCCGCCCGTGGAAAACTTCTCTCTTTCGACTCATTATGTTGTTTCTGCACGTGGAAAACTTTTCTTTTCGATTGTGTGAAACTTATAAATATTCAATGGAGAATATTCCCCTTAAAAAACCTATTTTAGGTTCTGTCGCGAAGTATAAACGCGAAAAGCGTGAATCAGTTGACAGTATCCATTTGGCCAATGGGAACTTCGTGGCATTCCAGATGGAGGCCAGTCATCGCGATCTCGGTCGGAGCAGGTAAGTTTACCAGCCGTCAGCTGAGTTCATTCCCAACAACATATTTCCTTTCCAGGAACGATTTGCCCACACGTCCTGGCACGAAGCAATCATGGCTGTCCGATCGGGATCCGCCGGCATACGGGAGTGTTCTCGGCGATCAAAGCCGTTTGCGCGGCGCTGAGAGCATTGACGGTGGTGGAAGTGTAGTGAATATGTACGGACTGGAGACGGATGTCATACCAGCATTACCTAATCAGGAGGCTATGCAGAGGTAGGTTAGAACACTCACTGGATAGAAAAACGGGCAATGTGGAGCCTCCCATTGTGATCTCCTCAGAAGTGTGCGGCTCCCAAGACCTTGAGGAGCGCACCAATGAGGAAAGCTCGATGATTTCTATCCGCGCCCACACGATCAGCGTGGACTGTTCGTGGAGATCGCCATAATAAGAACCCCATGTTTAGATTGACAGCACTTGTTGGTCGGGATGTTCGAGGAAGTGCTTACATAACGCAACGGGAAGCTGTAGACATGCTCAGTAGAGGGAAATACGGTAGTCGTGGAGAATACGGTATCCATTCCGTCAGGTGAGCGAGGGTTTTTGCCCTTTTTTGTTATGCAGCGTCCATACCTTCGAAAGCTCTTAACGTTTATAGTAAGTAGTATAATGATGTAATGTAAATAATGTAAATGTAAATAATACTTACCTGGGGGTTTTCAAGGATTTCTTATGCTAAAATGGATTGGACCCTGGGGCTATTATTGGGAGGAACGCTAAAATTTTGCAGGAGATGGTTTAGGATAGTCGGTTAAATAAAATACCGGTGTCGTACAAGGTGGCCTGGTTTGCAGTCGCGAAGATTGCACAACTTCCATGGCTCCAAAGTGAAGAAAGCGCTGAGATCGTCATTCGCCTAACACCCCCCCCCCTCTGCTTCACAGGTGAACGCCAATGACAGATACCTTGCTGTGTGTTGTCCCTCCGTCTGTGTACTGTCTAATTCTTCACCGCAATCTCTCGCCCGCGCTAACAATGTCTCTTCTTCTCTGGCCTCCTCGCATGCTCGTTAAATGCTCAAAATCAGCTGCAAAAGGAGAATTTTCTTAAGCACTTTTCTGCTGGTCTCTTCTGCTTATTTATTTACTGGCAAGTCACCAACCAGCTACAAAATTCATATTTAAACAGCGTGGCATGCCTCCAGGCGGAATGCGTAGTATTCAAGTCTGTCTTAATTCTTGTGG